AAGCGCGACCGACAGCTAGTAATATTATGAATGCGAAAGTATTAATGGATGGATGTTTGTTAGCATTCAACTCCTGATAAACTAAAATCTGTCTGAAATTTAGAACAGCCCATAGGGTCTTTTGTCTGTGCTAACATAGTCGCGGGCAAAAGCTAGCTAATATTTCAGTAGAAAAAATATATTACGACTATAAAATCTATATTTCATGCCGTTTAAAGGGTTATGATTCCCTTACGTTACTATTTATTATACCAAATGTATAGACACCTTCAGCAACTACGACTCCTAATTCCTAATTATATAAAAAACTAAATAAAATTCAAAAAAAGAATCATGAGAGACGTCCACCTCTTGTTTTAAATCACAAAATGGTTAATATTATGCCAAAATGCAGCAACAGATTACTTCCAAGATACTTGGCCATTCGTTACGATTAAGTCGTAAGAGTTTCATTTAAATGGAACAACATTGAACATAACCACGCGATGATCATATTATCACCTTGCTTTCATGTCTACAGGTCACGCCTTCGTCTACTAATGGAGGTCGAAACAAATATAAAGCGGAAATAGTATTAACAACAGATTATATAACTTCCGATTTTCTTTTCTTATCGTGCAAATGGCTTCTAATTTGTATTGAGTACTACAAATGAGTTTCAATGTGCTAGTGTTTAAAAATAATAGAATTATTTATTAAAATTTGGTATTTAGATTATGCATAAATTACACCAGCAATATTACTATCTAGACAGTTCCAAGCCTTGGTCTAAAGTGTATAATAAAAACAAATATACCCAATAAAAACAAAAACAAAACTATAAAGTTGTCTATGGCATTATTTTTTCCATTCACGCGCGAATGAAAGTAATCACAATTCCCGCCCCGAGGCAATTCTACGATATCGTGGCTGCCATATTGTAAACGAATGATGCAAAACGTCCGCTTTTTTTAATAAAGAAATAATTTGTAACTGAATATTGCGACTTTTCAAATTGGTTTTTAATAGAAAAAATGTTACTAAGCGGATTTTTAGATATACCAAATAAGGGTAAGGTTTTTTATTTTTTGATAAGTTTCACTGCATGTATTAACAGAAATAAAATTTTGAAATTATGTATTTGTGTTATAATATCAACTTTTATTCAAATTAATAACTTTATTTTTGACATTGCGCAATTTTTAAAATTGACATTTGACATTGCAGTGACGTTCGGAAATTCAACAAAACAACAACGAAAAATGAATAACGATAATTACAATGCCACAATTTCTATTGTTATTCTGTGGTTAAATTTGAAAAATCCGGCTATTTCAAAACTTGAATTCCTACACTTGAGAATTGAAGTTTCGGAAGTAACAAATTCTGAAAACGTACTCAAGCCTTTATGTTTGAATACGAGGCCACGTTGAATGGACGCTAAAGTTTTCAACTTTATACGTTAACGTTAGAAGTAGAACTCCTTATCCATTGTTATACGAAGCTATTTGTATATTAGTTTTATGTTTTTAAATTTAGAATAAAGACGAAAAAGGTTTTATAGTCAAAATGTATTCTAGTAAATTTACGTTGAAGAAGTATCGACATTCATTGACCAAATTAGTGTCCAACCAACCAACAAATATTCGTAGCTTTATAAAAGTTAAATATAGCCTCAATAGATATTGCTAATTAAGAATACTTACTTATTTCCAGTGTCAAAAATTGATACTGGATGGCAATAAAATTAGAACGTTTTAAAATTTACTAAAGAAAATTGTTTTGCTCAAGTACAATCAGCTGCATTAAAATAAACTGTTTCTTGCTAAGTACCCGCCTCACCTCGGTCTCATGGCTACGCCGTAGCACTTTCTACAATATTTAAATTAAAAACAAAAGAGGATTGCTGTTTTACCTACTAACTGGCTGAAAAGACAACTGCCGTTATTATAGTTAAAAAAAGGCACTGGCTGGAAATATTCTTACAGTAGTACCATCATTGTAAAAAATTGCAACGTTAAAACTTAGGCACACAAAAGCAATACGTTTTTATGTTACACATTTTGTGCTACTTTTATAAAAGACAATTTTAAATATTACTGTATATTTATTAATATCGTCATGAAATAAATGGTTTTTATACGACTTTGGACAAACGTGTATTCACTACTTAACAATGTCTGGAACGTTAAAGCTCCAAAAATAACACATGTAAATTACTGCCACACTGAGTTAATGGTTACACAACCAGTCCCTTAGTGTAACTTTTATCTTACTAAATCGACACTAAGAGACTTAATACTTAAAACTGAGTATTGCACTTACTGCAGCGGCTGTTTTCTAAGTTTGGAGTTTAATAGTTCAGCTAAATTTTCAACTAACATCGAACTTGGACCAGCGAGAGTCTATGAGACCGCGATATTTTTCTTGCTTATAGAGGCTCACCGTCAAAAACAGAAAAGTTACATATTTGGGCCTTGCTTCACAGCACATAGGAGCTTCTGAGACGGGTTGGATAGAAAACAAAGTCATGGTTGAAAAGCATTCAGGAATGAGCCACTATTGCGAGTGTTGACTAATTTTTTTCACTTGGCACAGGACAGGGATATCTCTGAGCTGACTGCCTACCTCCAGTAATGGAAAGGCAAAAGAAGAAAAATAAAGGTTTCCCTTCAGAGTTTCTTAATGGAAGCTGTCCGTCGGAATCAATGACGTTTATCCAAGTCTGTATGTATATTATTATTTTATTATCATTTTGTACAGGAAACTTGTGGTTGGATATGATAAAATATCATCCATACTGACTTACTTAGTATATGAAACATTAATCGACGTAATTAGAACAGTCCACATTTTATATGAAAAATAACAATATATAATATTAAAAGGAATATGTTTTATGTTTCTTCGATAGAAACCCGTAGTAAATTTAATAATTAATCACACTACAAAAAAATCTATATTACCGCTTTTTTTTAATTGGCTTACATACAATTATTTTTAATTCTCAGACATAAATAATAGACACTTCGTTTTTTTTTATTATTTTAAAAGTTTCATTTTGAATTAAGAACATTGTCATATCTTTTATCGAAATGAGGACTCCCCTTGTAGATAACCTCTGTATTACGTTCGAAGATTCGTTCAAAGATACGCAGCATTGTCAGCTTTGATTCTTTTATAACGATGATTATCTTTTATTATTGCGATGTAATAATTAAACATTTAACGTTTTACCAATAAAATTTTCAATATAAAATATAGCTATAGAAATGCAAAAATAAAAAAACACGAAGGAGTTTAATGTTTAATATTTTCAGCCAATACTCATGTTCAGTAAAATAATTTGTTATTAAAATAAGATGATATTTGCATAATAAGATACTTATAAATCATTAATTATTGAAAAAAACAGTTTAGATTTTTTTTTTTCATTTTCATGAATTTGTTTTATTTCGTTAGCGTGGTGCGTTTTGTTTATGCCTTTTTACTAAAAAAAATCCGCAGTTGAAAATTTGTCAAGAAATAAAACGTAAAACTGAATATTAATTTTGAATAATGTAATAATAGAGAGTAAAATATTAAAAAATAAATTAGAGTACTCACATAAACACAGCATTTTCGCCAACATTGCGAGAGAAGTGTCGAAAAGCGCGAATATATTTTTCCTAGCTACAATACGAATAACCATTTTCATTGCCTTAGAAACCGTATCACTGGACGATTTCGTGTAACTTCGACTTTATATCATTTAAGATTTCAATTTTAATATAATACGTATTGTAATTAGAAAAAATACCAGAAGTTATAAACGAGTCCGCTCATCTGCAAGACTTTTGTTACAAACTGGTGGTTAGGAATGTTTTTTAGGAATTTATACTGAGCGAGTTGGCGGAATGGCGGACATTTTGTGACGTCATATAGACAAAAATCAATCCTTCGGGGCATGCGCGTCGTCTTCCCTTGGCCCATTTAATGGCGGGGATGCGTGACCGTGACGGATTCAGTTTATAACCAAGACAAAATGGCTGACATTTTTTTATGAATGAACATACTCTAGTCATTCAATCGTTATTTTTAGATGTTAAGTTACTGATATCTGAATATTTGTTTCATTAATTTGATAAAGTTATGAACCTCTTCGTTACGTAGAACTATTGATTTATAGTGAATAGAGGTTAGTAGAACGGATAAAAAGCCAAGTTTAATTTTAAAAATATAAAATAGATCTCCCAGTTGCCTGACTTTTTTATTTAATTTTGCGTCTATTATGATTACCAATGGATTATTATTAAAATGGATAAATAATTAGCCGCTATCTTTATCTGGTGGAAATGCGACGCATCGACATAATGAAATGAAATATGATAGTAATAGTCTCGCTTCCCTCTCAAGTTTTACATATAACATGATAGTTTATTTAATTTAAATTAAAAATGTTAAAATTATATATGGAACTATCTAATGCTTTACAGTTTCAATCAGTTTTTAAGGTTCTTTTTTTAATTAGTACAATCTACCGCTGATACTACTAGAACAATACTTTGGCTATAAACTATACTGGAATGTAATTATAATAATAACGTAACAAAACCATCTGCAAGAGAGGTATGGTCAGTATAGTATTGTTTCAGGCGAGGTCGCGGAAGAAATCGCAAGCGTAGTATCGTCATGATGCGTAGGAGGAACAGAGGGATTTAGTGGGTATGCTTCCCATCCGGTAAAGAATCCCATATCACTACCGCGCGCGCGATTCTTGCAGATTTTTATCTGTTATAAGCGGAGAAAGATGGCACTGTCCGTCCTTTTCAAGTAAAATATAAATAGCCCATCTTAGATCATTCTGACGTCTGCAATCAGCCTTTTTGAATCTTGAGAAAGTAATAAAATACTACCATATGGTTTTTTTAAGCGTGACAATATTTTTATTTTAAAATTATGTATTTTAGCAATTAAAGTTTTACTCTGTTTCTAAACGAAAACAACTAAACTCGATAATGACAGGTTGACAGTGACAATTGGAAGTAAACAAGCACACAACACGATAACATGTGTTAAATAAATGCTTTCTACGTAATTATTGGAAAAATTAAAAATGGTTTTAAACGCAACCATGGCATCAAATCCTCTTAACGGTAAGTCAATGCCATATCTATACATTATTTCAATTCCACAATAACCAAAACAAGTTTCACGTTTTATAACCTCACTTTTTAGTTGTGAGCTTTTTAAAAATAATTTTAACATTTCCAAAGCCGTGATTAGCATTTTTTAGTTTGTTACTATACCACGTATTAAATACAATGCAATGGAGTTTTTTCGAACAATGTTTTAATTCACCAAGCACATTCTAAATTAAAAATATTTTTTACGTATAATTTTGAGCAGATTAAAACAGATTTAATATAACCCAAATATATGTAAGATCATAAACAAATATTACAACCCATCAACAGACAATCTATATTAAAATAATTTTACGTACATTCCACTTTTACAGAACTCAAACGTAGACTAGACGATGACACAACTCCGTTACCCAAAAGGCTGCGCTTGGCCAAGAATGTTATACATTCAGATCATTTCCCTGCTGCACCGAAGGAAAGAATTGTAGCAGAATGGTTAGAGAGTATCACAGAAAGGAATGGACTCGCTAGTAAAGATATTAGACATGTTATCAGCTGGTTGCAATTTGCTGATGAACTGACAAATGATTTGAAATGTAGATTAATTAAGGTAAATTATTTTCATTATCAACCTGCCCTTATACCTATGGAGAGTTGGCACAGTATGTACTCCTCCATTCATCTCTATCAGCCGTCATACCTGAATCTACTCCCTTCTTACGCATATCCTTTTTCACACAATACATCCATACTTTCTTCGGTCTTCCTCTATCTTTGTAGCTATTAAGTATAAATTATGTCAATAAATATAAATTATGTCATACTACATAATTTTTTTTATAAATATACTGTCGCGGAGGCAAAGGGCTGCGTACTGCCTCAAAAAAAAGTAGATTAAAATTGCATTAATGAAAATGATATTAATTGAATATTTTAATTAGATTACTAATTTTTTGTGTAATCCTGAAATGTAAAGATTCCTTGGTACTATAGGTCTGCTTGCAAATATGCCATACTAGCTGTCGCTCAAGACTCCGTCTGCGCAGAATTAAAACAAACTTAATAGGGAATCGATGTGTTCTTCCAGACTATGTTCTACTTGCATACCAGATCTATGCAGCCATTCTGAAGATAAATTCAAACAAACATCCATCTAAACATTTGCATATATAATATTAGTAAGATTTTAGTACAAAACAATATATATGTTTTACAGGTGGTGTCACATTATTTACATAGTAATCCATTGAACAATGAAGACATACATTTTATAATAAATTTCTTAGAAAATGATAAAATATCATTATCTTTACAAAATCAAATTGATGATTATTTATTCATAATAATCACTTTACTTCAAAACTTACGGAACGAAGTTGGCAAAAATATTTTAATTCAGAAATTGTTTACAAATTTATGTAAATATTACAAGGAATGTAAGAAGAAACTAAAGTTTATAGTAAAATTTTTGGACGGAGAGAATTTAGAAACAATTTTTAGCTATTTAGATTCAGATTATCGGAATGCAGTTTTAAATGTTTGTCAAAATATTCTATTCCCGATCACAAAGAAAACATTTTTCGTCAATTTTCTTCAACATATAATTAAGAATGATAATATTGATAATTTTATTGCTGATAAAAGTGAAAATGTACAGTCGGTGATTAAAATACTGAGTGCTTTTTTCATGTTCCCTAAAGGGAGAACGGGTAAAGACCAGAAATTCCTAATTGATTTTGTTGATACATTTGTCACTTGTTACCATAATGAAGGTCAAATATTATTTGCATTTTACATAATGGCGATTAGCTCTTTAAATATTCGTCAGAATTATTTAAATCCTGAAATGATAATACCTTCTATAACATTCAAAGAAAATGATGATAAAATAAAACGAAATATATTTTTTAAAATGTTAATCACTTTATTAGAAAATGAAGTTGATATATCAATAAAATTAACTTATACGATTGGTGAAAAAAATAAAGTCGAAATGAAAAAGAATTTCATGTCATTTTTACAAGCAACTATGCTCGGTTGTTTGAAATTGGAACACAAAACAGATAAAATCAGTTTACAGATTATAAAAGCGGCAATAAAATTAGATCCGTCAATGATTGAACAAAAGCTCGATGTAATTCTGCCACCGATTATGACGGCCAAAAAAAGTTCTAACGCCAAAGAGGCTTATATTGAAATGTTTAATTGTTTAATAGAAATTTTATATAAATTAAGCCGTGGAACTGTATTTATTGAAAAAATTCTACCGAATATAAAATTAAAATTAGAAGCTTTAAATGTTGAACAATTTGAATTGAGACAAAAATTAAAAGATGCCACAGATGATGTAGAAAAGATTAAAAATAAAATTATAACCGGAGAAGATATTTTGCCTCAAGAATGTGTTGAAATGTATGGAAAATTGACTTCGGAGTTGATGTTTAGACAAAATAGTGGATTACTGACATCTCTGCAAAAGGATTTGGAAGAAAACTGCTTAATGATGTTAGAAGAAGGATTTGTCAGTATGTATAAACCATATATATTTTTTTATATCATAAGGTGGCAAACGAGCTAGCGGCCACCTGAAATAGCGAAGTGACCGTTGCCCATAGACATACACAATTGCATATGCGTTGCCTACCTGTAATCGACGAAAAGAGGATGCACAGAAAGAAAGTATTTTCCCTTCCCATGCATCCTCTCATCCGGAAAGTCCACTTTTACTTCCCATCCTTTCTTTATAAGAAAAAGGATGGGAAGGGAAAGACGACTAAATTAGGCCTCCGGGATGCAATATTACTAACTAAATTATTATTAACTACTAACTATTATTATTTCGCAATACTTAATATAGGGTGACTCATGTATCTTTCAAATTCCAGGTCCATCAATAATAATATTAACGGAAGTACTCTCCGCCATCTTGTCGTCTTTCTTTAAGTATAGCAAAATGGCGGATCATACTGTTCCACAACAGATTGCCGAAGAGTTTTGGTCGAGTTTCCAAACTTTTGGTAAAGAATGCTTAAAGAAATTCGGTGAATGTATCTTAAAACTTAATTATGTAAGTTGACATTTATAACGCGAATTAATGAACTTGAAATTTTATCATATACTTATCTAATTAACCTTAAAAAAAATTAATAATTACAGAATTCACCATTACTACTATCCTTTCTAAAACTTTGCTTAAGTTATTCACAATTGAAACTTTTAAATTTGAAATATGGCAACATTAAAATGGAAGAAACAATTGACACAACAGAGATGACAGACTGCAGTATTGTGTTGCCATGTTTCAATGGAAATCAATGGATGACATTAGCCCAAATGATACAAGAAGATGAGTCTGTTATATGGGTAAGAAAATACGTTTTCTATTGACTTGACGGAGGAGGGGACGCCTAAGAAGGGGAGAATTTCTCTTTCAGTACATCCCCTCCTTTGTCCATTAAAATTAGGCATAGTATCTGCAATTGTGGATGATTATGAGCAGCAGTAGTTTCGCTATTTTGGCGAATCCAAACCGCTTGCTCATTTGTCACCTTATAATATAAAAAATAATAATAATACACCTTTTTTTGCTTTTTGGTATAAGTTTTTTTTTTATATCATAAGGTGGCAAACGAGCGAGCGGCCACCTGAAATCGCTGAAGTAACGAAGTAACCGTTGCCCATAGACATACACAATTGGATATGCTTTGCCTACCTTTAAACGACGGAGGAGAGGATGCACAGAAAGAAAATATTTTCACTTCCCATGCATCCTCTCATCCGGAAAGTCCACTTCCCATCCTTTCCTTATAAGAAAAAGAGTGGGAAGGGAAAAAGGACTAAATTGGCCTCTGGGACGCACACTCATCAGACGAAACGCGGAATTGCTTCGCACTTGACGCCTGTCTTCTGTGTGGTCGTGGTATTTCACCGGGCGAGCCTGGACAATTTGTGCGAAGATGTTAAAGCGGGCTCTACCACTGTTAAAGTTCTCCGTTTAAGGACATTTAATCAAAATTTTATCAAAATCTGTCCTGTGATTTAAGAGATGTTATATGTATTACAAACTAACGTTTATTTTATTTAAATATAGATATATTAAAATTAACTTGTAACTTGTAAAACTTTTCAGGATAATCTACTTCTTGTTAAATTAATGTACTCACAAGTATTGAAATTAAAAAATTCTGAAATAGAAAATGAAACGGATATAAGTAAAGCACATGTGATAAAACATTTATCGGAATATTCAGAAGTGATAACATCAGATTCGTATATAACAAGAGAATTATTTACCAATTTAGATATAACTCAAGCTAAACAAATTGCAAAATCATTGGTAAAATTATTTTTAAATGGCAACAATTGTGACATATTCAAAAATGTTGCCATATCTAATAATAGAATATTACTAAATGCAATCGTTTTAGAAACATGTAAATGTATAATGAAATGTTTTGATAATAGCAACACATTCACTAAAGCTATGAATAAAAGTAGCTTCGATATTGAATCGTTTTTACAAAATTTAAATGTAAAGGAATATTTCAATGAACTTAAAATAATTGAAAACGAAGAGGAAACAATAATAAAACATGTTGATAGTTTAAAGGAATTACCCATTTACAATTTAGAAGAGAATTTCAGATTGACAGCCATTTTTGTGTTGCTAGCTATCAAGAAATGTTGCCAAACGAAAAAACTACGTCGAAGTATTGATAATATACTTCTTTCAAGTTACGAATTAAGTCCGAAATACCCTGATTTATACAAAATATTTCCCGTTGATTTTGTATTTTCATTCCAAGACAGTACTATATTGAATTTACTAAAATTATCTTTAAAAACATCAAACAATATGTTAATTATTAAATTCATATTAGAACTGACAGTGAAAAAAGTGAAAACGAATAGTGAGATATTAAAAGAATTGGTAGAAATACTTCTATCGAAACAATATTCAAATGATTCGACACAAACTATTGAATATTTTAGTAACACAGTGTTTCAAATACAATGCATCATCCTACCAATAATTGCTAAAGAAAAAAGAGCCATAACTTCAAGTGCTTTTAGGACGATTTTAGCAAATTTACAAGAGAAATTACATCAAGCTATGCTGGAATCTTTTATGCATATAGATTTTACCAAAATCGATAATTTTAATGAAACTGACAACATTGATGACAGTTTGGTAACTTCTGATCGAGGTGTGGCAACACTGAACGCTATTGGCGCGTATTCCTTGACATTATTAAAGTATTGTGAAATGACTGATGTTGAAGAATTAAAGAAATTAGATTGTTTATGGTCGGGATTGGAATTTTTCGTTCAGAATGCTGTAAGTATGAAGTTATATCTAATTTTACAGTTCATAATCTAACAATATATCAAGTCAAATTATAAATTGACAAAGTTCACAATTTGACTGTCATATTTAAAACTATTGAAAGTAATTATAAAGATCTATATAATAATGTGAATACACATTTCACAAATTATTTATCCACTTTTTTAGCTATTTTTCTTACCATGGATTTCTGAGACGAAATTCCCCTTAAAAGAAATTTTTATTTTATTTTATCAAAGGTTAAAGACATGGATGACTACAGATTTTACATACAAATTATGGTCTCAGAAACCCACGTTTATAAATGTATGGCTTAACAGTGTGAAATAAATGTGTATTTTTATCTATATTACAGATTAAAGCTATCGAAAATCCAAATTCAAAATACCAACATATAGAATCTTCTATACAATTATTGAATATTGCACTAAGATATATAAAAAAACTAGAATCGCACAAGATATTTGAGAGAAAAGACGATCTATTCAAACTAATATGGCATAGTATTAAAAATAGATTACTAATAATATTCGATAATTCATCTAAGAAACGAATAAATACATTTTTATTGGAAATTATCGCGGTGAATATAAAATTCTTAACAGAATTATCTTCAGTGGATTGCTTTGTAACGCAATTTTTAGGTGATATAAGTAATTTGGCCAATTTAAAGGTAATTTTAATATTTTTTTAAATAAAATGTTACATACACAATTATAAATTCTAACCACATTTTTTCAATTATTTGACAGAAGTAATTGAATTTTTCCACATGGCAATATTAATTGTAGACGAATGACGTCATGATTAAAAAAATTTGTTGCCATATTTCATTTTTAGGCTTGAAATTTTTATAGATATTTTAGATTGAGTTAAATTATTAAACTTCCCAAATTTAATGAAAACACACTTTAAATACATAATAAAGTCAAAAATAATTATATTTACTAATATAAGGAATATTCAAAAATATTTCTTAAGACTACAATGAAACCTCAATAAATATTTGTAAGTAAAATATTTATTTTCAAATTTCAGAAACCCACATTAATTTTAAAAGATGAAGCAATGACCAATTTACAATTAACATCGCATCAAACATCCAAATATTTGCTCCAACATTGTCTCAAAGCAAATCTAATTGGGAACAAATGTGTTGGTGTAACAAAGCAAATATACCAAATATGTAAAAACTTAAAACATTGGATTCAAATATATTTCGAAAGCGATGTACATATTGACAAACAAGATCGGAGAAATAATATTGAAATGAACGACGATAGTGAGGTTAATCTGACAGATGTCAAAATTGACGACGCCATTTGCAATTTGTTGAGAATAGATTTGGATATGCTTTCAGAAGTCATTTTGGCGGCAAAAAAGGTACCTATATATTTTTTTCTAACAGAGTTTTATGGTTTGATATAATCAAAAGTCTCCAACAAAGGTAGTAACAATTATAGGTTTAAAACCTATAAATACTCAGAAATCTAAAAAAATTTAGTCCTCTTTCCCTTCCCACCCTTTTTCTTATGAGGAAGGGTTGGGAAGTGGAAGTGGACCTTCCGGATGAGAGGATGCATGGAAAGAGAAAATATTTTCTTTCTGTGCATCCTCTCCTCCGTCGATTAAAGGTTTTGTAACGAAAGCGCGTCATTCGCGCCAAAGGATTCTTACTAGTAATGTCTAAAAATAGTATAAAACAATGTCATGTTATCTCTTTCATTCCCTTATAAAGAGAGAGAGACAACGACATATTTAAGTGTTCATAAATGGCATTGCATTGCTAACTAATATTTTTATTTGTTTTTTTTTTCAGACTACATTAGACTACAAGTTCATTGATATGATATTTGAATTACAACATTTAATTCAATACATACTCGGCCGTAACACTTTACATACAAGGTGTCAAATCACTTGGCAATCATTCTTTATATTACACGAGGGATCTGTTACCGTGTTGAATAATTTGTTACTATCAAGAGAAGAACTTTTAGAAGACAGGTTAGTCTTTTTCTTGTATCAGTCAAAACAACATCGTATAATTAGAATAAAAATGTTACTATAAAAACTAAACGGACTATGATAATAACTCTATGAGAATAAAAAAAAACTCGCCCTTCAACTTTATCGGTGTAAATAAAAAAATGCTTAAATAACATTCTGTGAAACAATATACAGAATAAAAATAAATAGTACTTTAAAATCTGTTTTATATAACCTACAAATTTTCTGATTTGACAGCTATGACGTCACAATATTTCGCGGGTTCAGTCACATTCTTTTTTTTAATTTCTTCATTATATTTCCAGATGGCCATGTTTCATGCAATGCTATAAAGTATTGATACAATGTTTTTGCGAGAGAGTGAAGTCTTTGGAGCAATCAGATCGCAGCCTTGAACAGAAATTGGCTGAAACCGCTCATTCTATCGAGAAGTATGTCAAAATATGTTGAATAAAACATTAGAAAAAAATACAGACGAATTGACAACCCTCTTCTTTTTTAAGTCGGCTAAAAATAGAGAAGGAATGGTGAAATTTTATAACGAAGTAGAGTAGATAAATCCTTAGAGTATATAAATGTTATAACTAGCCAGGTTTTCTAAAACAAAAATCTCTTTATATCGTCATCCCTGTCATTGTTTTTAACAGAGATTTTTGTCTTAGAATCCCACGGTTAATACGCTGCATTTGACATCTATGCATGCATGTATAGCATATTTTGCATTTAAATATATATATATATATATGTTCTATGTCCACTGTTACAAGATTACATTGTTAGAATAAAGTGTCAAATGTGACATTACATTGGCCCAACTATAAAGTCAAATAGACATAGTAAATCTGCAGTTCAACTTTAATATGTTATCTATTCAATTTTCAGATTAACCCAATCGATATGCAAGAGAAAAGCTCATGTGTCCAGAATAGCGGCCTACGCGGTCGCCGACATTTGCATTTGGATAGAAAAGAATGGCCCGCCAAAACTAGTGAGGCAACATCTAGAAAATTCTATAGCCCTGTTAATACAGGCTTCAGATTCTACATACGCTATGGCGTTCTTAAGAAGATCTTTGGCGGGTTCCGTCGGACAAATGACAATGTCCAATATGTATTCGATGTATAAGAGATATCATAAATATGTAGGAAACTCTTAATAAAACAGCTTTTAGTGTTTTTTTATATATCATAAGGTGGCAAACGAGCGAGCGGCCACCTGAAATCGCTGAAATAGCGAAGTGACCGTTGCCCATAGACATACGCAATTGCATAAGCGTTGCCTACCTTTAATCGACGGAGGAGAGGATGCACAGAAAAAATATTTTCCCTTTCCATGCATCCTCTCATCCGGAAAGTCCACTTCCACTTTCCATCCTTTCCTTATAAGAAAAAGGGTGGGAAAGGAAAGAGAACGTTTTAGTGTTAGTCTGCAGGATTTTTTTTTGCTCTAATTGACAAAAGTGGTCTATAATAGTAGCAACTAAACGTTGCTATCGTAATAATGTAAATATGACATTATAAAATAAATAAATAAAATATAAATGACGTTTATTTGCCCAAATAACTTTTATTATAATTAGCGCATTCATTATTCAGAAACGTGATTTTTCTAATATTATGCTTGAAAGTTCATATGCCCCGCAAATTAATGTTGGGATAGGGTAAGTAGCAATAAAAACACTTCAAAAACGACTCACTATTTATATTTCATATAAACACAAGATATTCTTGCAAATAATTTAATTTATTTGCTTTTATTCGTTACAATTGAGTAATAATTATGAGGGTATTAGTTTTAACATATTATTCCATGTCCATACAATAAAATAAAAGCTCGTATTTTGCAAACAAAACATTTTTATCAGAAGGCGCCAAAATTCAAATCAACATACGACGTTGAGGCACTCTGCATCTGCCCATATATGGGCATTTATTGAATACTGAATGTGGATTGGACAAAATTTGATCGTCATCAGTGAGTCACTTTTCGAGTGCTAATCATACGTGTGGAAGTCTCCAAATCTACTGTACACTTTGTTGAAACGGTTGATATTTTTAATTTATCTTATCTTATCGAAGCGAAAGCGGCTTTATATAAAAAAGGTTAACAATAACTCGTACATTGACAGAGCATAGAGCAACAGACTACAGTCGTTTAGGTTGTCGCCTTGTGTCACATTTATAAACAATAAATATTTCTAATTGAAATTTTGTAAATAAACAATTTTACTAATAAGTTATTATTTTTAGTGTTGAGAAATTTTAAGGTCTTGAATTTATTTGGTCAATAATAATTAAAAATTGTAATTAAATTAGTGTGTTGACTCATAGTAACAATTTTGACACATGCGCTCATTGGTCGCCGCACAATAACGTATAGCCAACTCTTAAATATTCAGTGTCGTTCCGGTCGCCGTTGTGGACTCGGTGAAGTTAGTAGTGGAATTTTACGTGTTATAACATCAAAAAATGGTAAGTGAACAAAAAAAATAATTTCTGTGTGGTTTAACCGTGTTGTGCTCTACTTAATCTTGATGTGTTGTTAAATTGTTGTACTGAATTTACATTGTAATACATTCTCATTAGACCGGTGCCGCCATATTTCGCACAACCCTTTGCAGAGTTCGCACGCCTTTTCATAAAAATAGTTGTCACTGTTCAGTGATTTTATGCCACGTGTAGTAGTGATTTTGCGGAACTAAGCTTTAATTCAACGAATGTAGGCGTAGTGTTTCAGTCTAGATAGATTAGTGGGTGTTTCGGTGTTAAATTTCACGCTTGTTAAAAAGGTTACTATCCCGCGACACCTTTTATGACGAAAAGGCGCGCCGGTTTGTAAGAGCGTCATTTTTCTGATCGAAATACGTACTATATGTTAGATGATTTATCTGTCGGCCGTTTTGTTGGGGGGCATCGAACTTTGGTGGCAATGCACCGCCGCGCAATCGTATGTCGTTTGCCCATATATGGTATAGCTGCGGCAGTTGCCTGTCACATCCATTTCATGTCTATTTTAGGGTGCTTATAGACATCGTACGGTGGTGGGCGCGCCCCGTAATGAAAACTTTCTAGACATCACTCCCATCAATGTCAAGGTTATACAGTCTACAGTACGCGTATGAATTATCGATTCTTATCTTACTTGAATAAGTCGCTTTGCAGTTCGATTAGTACCTTATTTGTTCTGTAATAATCATTTCCGAACATTACATATGTATGGTGATTCATATTTTTCACGCCTTTTGATGATTCAGACCTTACTTCCTTATACATAAATAAATTTACAAACATTAAATTTAAAACATTAAATATGCCATATATGTTTCAATCAATATGGGTATTTTCTTATTGGATATTTGTCCTAAATACTTTTATACCTTAAATATGTTAAGAAAGTATAGTTAAGGTTAGGTTAAATTGTTAAAATGGATGCTTATTTAAAGGAGGGTAGTTTACTAGTTTAGTAAAACTACAAGATATTTGAATATGTTACATACTAACAAATATAATAATTAAAAGTATTTGCAAAGGAAAGTATAAAATTTATCAATTTATAAAAAAAAAGTTTTCAAACAAAAATCAAGTCCATGATCCAAAGGCTTTCAAAGATTTTGCTGATTTGGTACATCCCTACCTCTGATATTTTTCCTTGTCTATGATGTTCTTAAACATATCTAAGTAAAAAATGTCAAAATGTCTATTTGATTGAGGTTTTCAATGTTATATATTTTAATACTAGTTAAATTTGTAGAGAAACATTCTGCACTCTGTGCCAACACATAAATATAATAAAGCTGGAATTACGTTGCACATATTTTTAGATATTACATACATGAAAGATCCAATATTTTTAAATCTACAGATTACTATCAAAACAATGATTTTTAACAAGTTTTATTTTATTACTGTAAAAAAGGTTATATTTTTGTTTCTGTCATTCTGTGGTTGTTTTTAACAAATCTTTGTTTATTTGTGTGTATTTTAGTTCTATTGAAATAAGTGATCTACAGCAATTTAAAATATGAATAGATTCATATTCATTCCTAGAGAGATAATTCAGATTCAGTTTGGTATATCTTTATTAATTATCCTTTCTTTTAGATTCAAAATAACAGCTCTTATTTTACCGTTGAGTTCCACTACTAAACAGCTGACCAAAATATACTATTATATCTGATTTTTCTAACAGAATGCAATGAAACTGATTTATGTTTGTTTTGTTTTGTAATATCGTAAAATTGATAGAATGGGGATAAACGGTTTAAATGTTTGTCACATTGATTGTTGTAGGAAACAAATAATTTATACTCGTGAATCATTGCCACCGAATTGCAAAAGGTGGTAAATGTCGAAATGATTTTGAACTTTACTGCTATACAGTTTAAAGGTCAAGTTTACAGCTGATTATCAGTATGAGTCATACACGGCCGACTGGCCCGTATAGTTTTTTTTTATTACTTTTTATGTCATCGCGTACTGGCATGTAATAAGTTAAAAAAAATCAATTGATTGTCTGAGATTTATCTTACTAATATTATAAATGCGATGAATGGATGGATGTTTGTTTGAATGTATCTCTGAAACGGCTTAACGGATCTCTACGAAATCTGGTATGAAACATCGTCTCGAAGAAAACATACCCTACTTATTATTTTTTTTTAAATTCCGTACAGACGGAGTTGTGGGAGACAGCTAGTCAACTAATATATTCAAAGTAAATGTTTAACCTTTTTCACGCTTCCACCTTTTGATGGCCACATTGAAATGATCTGTAGCATTTTTCTTGGAACGATTTGATGACTTATTATTCAAGCCTTCATTATTTCTCATTACCTGACTCACCGTCGTAAGATAATGACGTGTCTACGTCCGTAAGGTCGATCACCTTCTTTTCCGCTCGTTCGTCTTTTGTTTTCTATTTTTATTGCGGTTATTATTTTTATTTGGATATGTATTTACTTGTGTAATCAATGAGTTATCAGCTACTGAGGTTAGGAAAGTTATAGTTACAATCATATATCTTACAAACTCTCTTTAGTCCAAAATATGACGTAAAGCAACGGAGATGATAGCGACATACATCCCCACTGAAGGTCTCGGAGCCTACCCTAACGGAGACGGATGTCGAGGCCAAAGTTAACCACGCTGGCCCAGTTGATAGAATAATTAAAATTATGAAAGTCACTCATTGAAACCAACCTTGTTTTCATCAAAAATCTATATATACAGTTAAATAGCTTAAAAATTGAAATTACATTTTCAAATGTAAAGAAAAAAACTGATAGTAAACAAAATAACTAGCCCTTTAGTTTGGATAATATACTTCTGAAAAACATTTGATACCGGATTAGTATAACCCAATGATTTTATATCTTTACGCTTAATACTTGCCCGCAATGCTTGCGCATTATCGATTTTGTCGCGTCACACCGGTCTTGTAAGTGCTTTTGGAACGTTAGGATATAGAGATTTAATTCAAATCTCATATAATGTAACTAGATGAAATTTAGTCGGATTGTAATTTGAAATATCGCATCGGCTACTATGTTTTTTAGTCTACACGAACGAAGTCACGGGCAACAGCTAGTAATCTAATAACAATAATGTCATGTAGGTAGTGAAATTTTTTAACTTTCTGTACACATTTATTTTTAAAGATTTCGTTATTCACGTGTTACATTACTTAAAAATATATTAATAGTATAGTTTGACTTGTTTAGGTTACACCCCTCTTGTTATACCATTGTTTCGTCCCACCCCAATTAAACCGCAAAGGTATATACACAAAGGGAGGTTTTACCCCCTTTAGTACACCCCGGGGCGCATACAAGATTCTATTATCATTGCGGATCTCTGGTTTAATTTAGATCGTGTATTTTCCTGGAGTACATTCTAAAAAGAAAAAAAAACAACTGTTTTGGGGTGCAGGATAATTAAAACCAACATAAAAAAGTATAGATTTGTTAGTATTTTTATGACTCGCTGCCACATTTATATTCATTTTTATCTAAGCAGTCGCTTAGTGTTGATTTCTTACAAGTAAACACTAAGGGTCTCCCTCATTAACAAATTAACAACTCTTAAGTGGCAATAGCAATCAATAGTTTCTAAAACCACGTCACAATAAACATTGTATCTTTTATTTTTATCAGGGACTGGAAGGAAGACCATTTTCTCACGTCTAATCTAATTTAATAATTCATCTCGTAGTTTCTATTTATAAAGATTACAAAAAAAGCGG